AAGGATTTTCTGGACCAGTTGGACCACAAGGACCACCCGTAAGTTCTAGCACTTAGTAGTAGACTTTTGTGTAGTTCTTTGATAAGTAAACATCATTCATCATTTTGTAATTAATTCTTGTTTTTTTCTGTTCAAGGGGCCCCCAGGAAAAGATGGAATTCCTGGAATTGACTCTGAAACAACGATTGTGCCTGTATGTATTTTGTTTGCTACTCTTCAACCCATGAACTTGTTTGGTTATAAATTTACCATACTTGTAGTTTTTTTCTGAGAATCAGCTTGAAATATGTGGGCTCAAAACGCAGACAAATGACTGGTAGTATACTAGAAAAGGATTAATTCTAAAACATTTTAAGTTTGTATTCACAACACATTCATTAGAAACTACTGAAAACCAAAGTAGTTACCCCCCCCCCCCCTTCAATCATGTAGTTAGTATAGCTTGGTGACAACATTTTGTGAAATCTGCTTAGAATAGTGGTTCAATAACTTCTGATCATCAGGTTAGGACAGTGGTTTAATGACCTGTGATTAGTGGACTAGGATAGTGGTTTACTAACCATTGGTCATCTGGTTAGGTTATAAACATAATCTGATTAGGATAAAAAGGTCACAATGATATTAAAGTAACACAGAACATAGAAACTTAGCAGTACAGAATTCAGGGTTAAGTGATATTTAGTAGTCTAATACACTATCCAAGATAACCCAGTGTTTTCCATGTCACTTTCTTAGAAGCTTAGCAGTACATAATTCAGGGTTAAATGATATTTAGTAGTCTAATACACTATCCAAGATAACCCAGTGTTTTCCATGTCACTTTCTTAGAAGCTTAGCAGTACATAATTCAGGGTTAAGTGATATTTATTACCATTAGTACTGAGTGCAAAACTCTGTTTATTGTTTTTTCTCCATTACTTTTAATTTTTTATTTTGGTATTCATAGACAGATTTCCTGTGATGTATTTATATAGTATAATCTTGTACAATGACTGGATTAAATTCATGGTTAATAACCTTTTCTACACAGGGGCCTAAAGGATCTGCAGGAAACCCTGGAGAACCTGGACTTCCTGGAGTGCAGGTAAAATAATTTATTGACTACTAGAAGTGTTGTCTCCCATGGAGTAAAGACCAGTGATGTTGGCTAAGTGTGGTAAACCTACATTAGGTTAGGCAAGTGTTACTGATTATGAAAGAGAAGGTCATGTATGGACAGACAAATAATTAAGTATGATTTTATAGCAGTTGATCAGTTTCATATGATAGGAATACATGTTGATTATAACACTAATTGTAGGCATAAATTAGTCTATTCAGTGAATTTACAAGTTCTTAGTCAAATTATTTAATTATTTCAGTAAAATCACTTTTATGCAACTACTATAGATGTAATTATTTCAAATTGATTTGGTTCATAATGTGGGAGAGAAAGTATAAATTGTTTATAATAACATTCTAGAGAGAGAGTAAAGCCTTTTTATTATATATATGGTAAATAATTCAGTTACAATACCTTTGATATAAGTAGATCTTTCTTTATTTTGCAGGGACAGAAAGGAGAATCAGGAGATTTGGGTATACCTGGAATCCCGGGAAGGAAGGTGATACTACAGTAGTTTTGTTAATACATTATCCATGAGTTGAATAGTTTCAATTTATGTTTCTAAGGGTACTAACTGGAATATAAAAAATATCAATTCTTAAATCAATTAAGAAGTAATTGTATAGTTTTCACTAAAGATAACTTTGACATTATCTTGTACCAAACTTGTCTTTATTAATGAAATAAACCTGGCCTGGTGGTTAGTGCACTTGGCTTGCAACCTGCAGTTTGCAGGATCATTTCCTATTTACTTGCCCTGTAAGCAGAGGGCATTATAATGTTCACTGGTAAAAAATAGCTCAAGAGTTGGTGGTGAGTAGTACTAACTAGTTGTATTCACTCTAGTCTATACTTCAAAATTAGAGACAGCTAGTGTAGATAGTTGCTTTGTACAAAATTCAACAAACAAATTAATGAAAGACAGCTTTGACAGACTTATATTTATTTCTATAACTAAAGATAAGAATTCTTAATACACTATAAACGTGACTACTAAAATATACAATAAATGTTGTAACTATTATAAACAAGACTGAGTATTTATTTTAATTTAATCTCACAACTAATACATAATATACTCACAATTCAAAAATGCTCAAACTTGTAAAACAACAGATCTAAATTTTTAAGTCAATGATATAATTTAACACTACAAATTTAACAACCTAACTTTAACACAAACATTTATGAAAAAGAAATACAAAGAAAAAACATATAATTTCAAAAACTGAACACAAAAATCTGTATCATAATACTTGTAATAGTTATAACTATTAACTTTGAGTTTTAAACCATATCCAGTCTATTCTCTATTTTTTGAGCATCTAGCGTATTATTCTTCATCTCTCTTTTATTTTATATTCTTATTTGCTATAAGATAACGAGATTACAATTTAATGTGGGATGATTATTGGCTAACAACAAAACATCTGATCAACAGGTGATGAGATTACAATTTAATGTGGGATGATTATTGGCTAACAACAAAACATCTGATCAATAGGTGATGAGATTACAATTCAATGTGGGATGATTATTGGCTAACAACAAAAGATCTGATCAACAGATGATGAGATTACAATTCAATGTGGGATGATTATTGGCTAACAACAAAACATCTGATCAACAGCTGATGAGATTACAATTTAATGTGGGATGATTATTGGCTAACAACAAAAGATCTGATCAACTTATTTACAAAGAGTGACACATCAATTTACGTACAGCCATGAGACTATAGCTATTGCAACAAAAACCTCAACACAACTTGGTGTCAGTCATTTTACATCAATGTGTCAATAATATTACTCTGTTAACCCTAATAGGGTGTAAGCTGGCATAAGCAGACTCAAGAATAAGCTCAATTAAGTGATAGAGGACATAAGTATAAACATGATAATAACTAATGAAAAACTAGAGTAATAACTTTCACTAAAATGTACAACATTTCATAGCAACAGCAGTTTGAACCAACATATCTAACAGGTGAGAACTAAATACTGTTTTGTTTTTATTATAAGGGAGAGAAAGGAGAAAGAGGAGAGAGGGGTCTAGCTGGAAAAGATGGGCAAAAAGTAAGAGACTAATTTAGATTTATCTTAGTGTCAGGTAAAGTAAACTATATCACAGTACTTAAATTTTGTTTTCCTTATAATATTTTCGAAAGTTTTAATTGGTTTGAAATTGCAAAGATCCGTAAAATGACAACAAAAACCTTAGGTTGAAAAAATTATAATAATGTAACTAAAAATTTTCGTTAAAAATCTGTGGGTCGATTCCACATGGTGGACAAAGCTCAGATAGCCCATTGTATGACTTTGAGCTTAAATATACAAATGTTAATTTATGAACAAATATTTATATTTAACAGGGTGATAAAGGTAAAAAAGGAGAAGAAGGAGAACTAGGAATAAAAGGAGACATGGTAAGGATATAAAATGTTTAAGTTAGGACCAATACTTTCTATTATGGTATGTTACGAATGGATTAGCAAAAGTGACCATTCTAACAAGAGGCCTTTATGACCATAAGTAATAGTGTCTTAACCTTCAGTTAATAAAAAAAGTTACAAGTATCTCCTCAGAAGATGTCAAAAAAGAAGTAATAGAGTATTATTTTATATAGGATTTTTGATTTGTTGATAAAACTTTCCTATCAACATACAACACACTTAGAAGATACTTTAATAAACAAAGGTATGTCTAATTATAACTGACCTTCACCATTACTTCTTACTACAATGAGATACATTGGCCATTTCTAGTTTTTTATTTATTTCAGGGCTTCAGAGGACCACAAGGTTTAAGAGGAGAACCAGGATTGATTGGAATGCCAGTAAGTCTTTGAAAACAATTTCGACAGGTTACTGTTTTTTATGAGCTAAATTTAAAAAACATCACTATTTTACAACATCCCAATATTTATTTTAGAAATATATTTATTAATTATTCTTAAGAGTTGTACAGAAAATTCTCTAAAATCCAGAACCAGGTTACATTCCTTATGAATCAAACAATAATTCCATCCTTCTCCAGCTTTTATGACTCTCCTACAGACCATTAAAACCATCCCAAAAGATCAAAGAGATATTAGAAAAAACTACTCTCTCTCTGAAATTGTAAATTTTCTCGTGGAAAAAGAAGTGTTAGAGGAGATCTGATTAAGGACTAGGGGACACAAATATACATTTTTGGCAGGGTGGAGTCATCTTCTATGGATACCATAAGGTTGAGGATGCTTAAGGAAAAACTTGATAAATATTTGAATGATAATGGCCGGTTATGATTTTCTTCAGTTTAGTTTAATGGATGGGACAGCCTAGATGGACCAATATGTCCTTATTGTCTTTAAATTTTATGTTATGTGTTATAAGAAGAACCTGAAATTACAAAATACTATAAAGAAACAGGCAAAAACCTCACTGAATGGTTTAATATTATTGATGACAATTATAATGTATTGTAAGCCTAAAATCAGCATTTTTATTATTGTTGCTAAATGTTGACAATTTTCTTTTATTTGTTTCATTATTCTTTCACATTTAACAGTAGAACATATTGTAGGTGTGACATCTAAATGTTGAGTTTCATTGTTATTTCAGATGTGGCTGTTAACAATGTTCTAACATCTAAATGTTGAGTTTCATTGTTATTTCATATGTGGCTGTTAATAATATTGTATCATCTGAGTGTTGAATTATATTGTTTAGTCTTGGGTATACTGTAGGTCTAATATTTTGTTGTTAAGAAATATCAGTTAAGTTTCTAATTCTTATATAATGATTCCTCTTAAACAAACACTGATTAATATGATATCAAAACATCTTAAACAAACACTGCTTAACATGATATCAATACATCTTAAACAAACACTGATTAACATGATATCAAAACATCTTAAACAAATACTGCTTAACATGATATCAATACATCTTAAACAAACACTGCTTAACATGATATCAATACATCTTAAACAAATAAACACTGATCAACATGAAAGGATTATTAGTACACATTCATTTTTAACCTAGCTTAAAAATTCCACTCAAATGTTTTGATATCATGTTAAGCAGTGTTTGTTTAAGATGTTTTGATATCATGTTAAGCAGTGTTTGTTTAAGATGTTTTGATATCATGTTAAGCAGTGTTTGTTTAAGATGTATTGATATCATGTTAAGCAGTGTTTGTTTAAGATGTTTTGATATCATGTTAAGCAGTGTTTGTTTAAGATGTCTTGATATCATGTTAAGCAGTGTTTGTTTAAGATGTTTTGATATCATGTTAAGCAGTGTTTACTTGTTAAAACTCCTTTCTTGGAAATAGAAATTCTACACTTGGTAAATTTCATTTTCAGCTTTTATTTTAGATACTTGATTAAAGCTCCAATAAAAACTGAAAACATCTGATGTACTCGTATTTTGAGGGGAGAAATTAACCTTCCTATAACGATAGTAAGCTAAATTTAATATTTATAAATTTTTCTGTCAAGATGATGTTTTTTAGTTTTGTGTAATGATAATAAAAACTAAATTACTAGATAATATGATCAAATAATTAATTTTATTCACCAGGGGGTACAAGGTCAGCAGGGCAAAGCGGGAATACCAGGAACTAAAGGGGAGAAGGTGAGTGACAACATGATTAAAGAATATGGTTCTGTATTAGAAGCTGTATTTTAAATACTGATACTAAAGTATCATTACTGACTTGGAAGTACAGCTAAAAATAAGATAATGAAGTTTTGACTCATACTGAAAACTTTTAATTGTGTTGTATGTTTCCAATTAACTTTTAGTACAAAACTTGGAATGTACTTGGCTACACAATAAAGTTAACCAAAGCTGTGAATATTTCAAATATATATTTTAATGTGTTTTTTTTTTCCATAAACAGGAAGAAATATTTCTGATTTAATATTATAACTCAGTCTTGAGAGTGATAAAAATATCATTTTTACTTCAGGGAGACCGAGGAGAACCAGGTAGACCTGGTGATGTGGCCAGAGCTGGTGATCCTGTAAGTCTGAAATTACTACAAGCTAATTATTTAAGCATGTGTGTATGTATATAACTTGTTTTCTCTGAATAACTTATCCTAAACAAAAATTCTTGCTTAAATGTCAGAAGTCATTGATAATTATCAATTTTTAGTAATAACTCCTAAATTTGTAATAATATGGGACAAAGCAATGTAATGTGTTTATGCATGCGTCATCTTCGGCAGCAGTCCTTCGATAATCGAAGATGACGTAGAGAAGGGGGGGGGGGAATAAACCATCAATGCTTGAATTGTTGACTGTGCTTCCAGTGTTGTGCAATCAGAGTTCAAATTTGCTGGCACATCACTTTTTACAAATTGTACTGTGTGAAGAACTGTAAGCAAGGAATGTCTCCGAGAGTGACGATCCTGTGAGACCTTCACCCACTTTTGGTGCACAACCTTTGAACCATCTATATTGGATTTGCATCATTTGACGCAATCGTTGTCTAGGGACTCCCGATTGGTAGTAGATATGTCAGCTGTGATCAGCTTATGCTTTATTACATCTTTGGTCCACCTCTCCGCTCCTGGCCAGAGGAAAGTTCTCCATAAAGTAAAGTCTTTGGAAGTCTATGTTCTGGCACATGCACCAAATGACCAGCCTGGCACAGTTGTCTTTTAAGAAGCATAGCTTCTATGCAGGGCATATTGGCATGCTTCAAGACCTTCTCATTAGTGATTCAGTCTTCCTAAGATATATTCAGGATCACTCTGAGGTGTCCGAGTTGTATGCTAGACAGTCTATTAATATGATAATGATAAAGTGTATAAGTCTCCGCTGAATATAGTTGGGAGCTCAGTACCACGGCTTGATATAACTGGCACTTGATTTTTGATGGTATGACACACTGTTTCCAGACCCTCTAATGAGAATATGAATATACAACTCAAGTAACTGATCATGTGTATTACTACTGTTGTAACTAAGCATATTGTTGTGGATAATTCACTGTTCTGTTTGTGTATCTTTCAGTATTCTGTATTTTTATCATTCACTGTTGTGTATTTCTACCATCTCTTCTCCCTACTTGTAGCATAAGCCATTTATATATATATATATACATACAGATATGAAATCCACTCATTCGTATAAGGAACTAATTTCTCATCTAAGTATATGAGGTATTATTTTTCTGTGTGTACAACAGTATTTATATCATGCAGATAAACTTTTCTTCCACAATTATAATAGGGTCCAATAGGGCCACCTGGACCACCTGGCGAACCTGGTGTTGATGGGAAGAAGGTGAGTTCTTAAATGTTTATATTGATTAAAAGCAGACATATACATTTCTTTTAAATGTTTTATGGATATATTGTAGCTATCCATGAAAATTTACTCTGTAGTGGACTTGTAAGTTTTTTACTCGACAAATTTAAACTATTTATAGATTGGAAATTACGTGTAAGAGTTGAACTTGTAACTATACCTTTCTCAAACCACCTATTTCATTCATTTTGTTTATCAGAAGAGCTTAGTTAATCTGTGAATTAGTGAAGCTTGAGCTAAATAGAGTAGTTAATTGTAACTTTGAAATGTGAGTTTAAACAGTTTTACTATTTACAACGTAAGCAACGCTGCAAGACTTACAAGGAGGAAGATTACCTTTATTATAGTAAAATGGTTTTGAATATACAAGTTAGCAAGCCATGTGACATTAATAACTGATATAAACTTGAAGTAGAATAGAATGTATCAGAACTACAATCTTACATTGTTTGGCATTTCATAGGTAGTGTGATGTCACAGAAAATTATTTGCTCTTAGGAAGGGCATGTAAAAGCCCTTTCATTTAGTTTCATTCAAGTTTAGATTAGGGATTTAGAATTTCCAAGGTGAGGATATCATTTGTATTTAATAGCAAAGGCATATATAGATTGGTTTGTGGAACCAGGCTCATCCAGAAACACCTGGAAAAAGTCATACCCCAACCACAGTAATGAAAGTAATGTCTCCTAATAGACAAGAATCCATAAACACAATCAGTGTAAAAAGTCATCCACATATCTCAGGCAACATGATCAAGAAGGATCTCCATCTAATAATAAGTCCAGCAGGGTATGGGTTCACCAAGATCAGACATTCAGTCTTTCCTCTCATTCAACTGTTGTATATCTCAAGCAGCTGGAAAATGAAACAGATATACATGATATTTCACAAGAAGACATACTGACAAGATAACGTATGCAACATCTATGGATTTCTATGTCATAGAACTGTTGAAACATTAGATGGATTATGGAAAGTAGTCATAGAGGAGTGGTGTGCTTTGGACGTGACAGTCAAACTAAGAACTTTTTTGTAATGAAAATAATGCAACGAGGCTATTGTCAAGATACACAGTCATCAGTTAGAGCATAACATCACTTAGTGACATGTATAATAATGACATGATGAGCTACTAGCTACTTTCACCTATTTTTGGTTGATACAGTAGTATATCACAGAAACTCTAACTACACTTAGTTAGTAAAGATTGATACATTAGTATATCACAGAAACTTTAACTACTATCAACTGTTAATACAACATTAATAAGATTTGTAACAAGCCTTAGTTGTTAACATTTAATTAAAGTAATAACAATGTTTCAGAAAAGTTGTAACAAGCCTTAGTTGTTAACATTTAATAAAAGTAACAATGTTTCAGAAAAGTTGTAACAAGCCTTAGTTGTTAACATTTAATAAAAGTAACAATGTTTCAGAAAAGTTGTAACAAGCCTTAGTTGTTAACATTTAATTAAAGTAACAATGTTTCAGAAAAGTTGTAACAAGCCTTAGTTGTCAAGAATTAAAATAACAAGGGCTCAAAAAGTTCTAATAACTCTGAATTATTGAATAACTACTCAGCAGTATCTCAGATAGCTAATATATAATCTACTATTTTATATTTTATCATTCTTTAAAAAGTTAGACAACTGATATAAAGAAAATATTTTTACATTATGATATCACCAAGCTTAAATTAGCCATTACTGGATGTTTTTGAATATATATAATTAAACAGTTAGACAACTGATATAAAGAAAATATTTTTACATTATGATATCACCAAGCTTAAATTAGCCATTACTGGATGTTTTTGAATTAATAATTAAACAGTTAGACAACTGATATAAAGAAAATATTTTTACATTATGATATCACCAAGCTTAAATTAGTCATTACTGGATGTTTTTGAATTAATAAGCCAGAAATGTTCTATTAGATATTTCATAATGATATTAAAATAAGAAATAAATAAAGACTGAACTATGTCACTGTATGCATAAAATAATCTTAAATTAAATTATTAAGATTACATTTGTTAATTATTTGCTAAAAATTGTCCACAATACAAGAAACTTAACATTAAATTAGCTAGTAATTGATATATATAAACATAACTTTAAATACATTCTTTATTCTTATGTAGGGAGAACCAGGACTTTCAGGTCCAGCAGGTCCAAGTGGTCCACCTGGACTTCTGGTAAACATTATAATAAAATAAACTTAACAGAATTATCTATGCTAGGGTGTAAGAGTTTCATATTTATTGTGTTTTTAGGACCTAGAAAGAAAGACTCTAATTGTCTTGAACAAGAAACAAAAAAAGATTGGATGATTCCTTTAGAAATTTGTCTGTTTTATCATAAGAAAAGCTTTTATCACATAAAAAAATCTCTTCTTTATGCAGCAAGCTTAAAACTTACCACACATAGTGTTATTAATGTACTTATGTGTTAGTGTAATAAAAATTATTAGACAGTAAATAATGAGAAATCTGACAAAAGAAATCAGTTTCATCAACTAACAAGTATATCGAAAAAATATTGCAAAATAGAATACTATAGGAAAGAATTAAAGCTTATTGTATAGATCTTATTGTAATATTTTCAGGGTCCTCCAGGACCACCTGGTGTTGAAGGAAATGAAGGTGCTCCGGTAAGAGAGACCTTGTACATTCACTCAATCTACTCAGATAAGATATTACTGTATAAGATACTAGCTATCTCATTCATTCAATCTACTCAGATAAGATATTACTGTATAAGATACTAGCTATCTCATTCATTCAATCTACTCAGATAGGACCTTACTGTACAAGATACTAGTTAATATCTCATTTACTCAGTCTACTCAGATAGGATCTTACTGTATAAGATACTAGCTAATATCTCATTCACTCAATCTACTCAGATAGGATCCTACTGTACAAGATACTAGCTAATATCTCATTCACTCAATCTACTCAGATAGGATCTTACTGTATAAGATACTAGTTAATATCTCATTCACTCAATCTACTCAGATAAGATCTTACTATACAAGATACTAGCTATCTCATTTACTCAATCTACTCAGATAAGATCTTACTATACAAGATACTAGCTATCTCATTTACTCAATCTACTCAGATAAGATCTTACTGTATAAGATACTAGCTAATATCTTATTTACTCAATCTACTCAGATAAGATCTTACTGTAGAATATACTAGTTAGTTCCACATTTACTCAGTCTACTCAGTATAGGGAATACTAGCAAGTACGTCACTCACTTCATCTTAGTTATGTTCTTTCTATATAAAATGTTATTTAATACTTGTTTTGACATCATTACTCCATCCTATGAGATATGTTATTACATAGAAGATACTAGCCCTTGCATGTTTTTACTGTTGTTACTTCATTACTCAGATACCTTGTTTCTATATAAGATACTACTTTACTCGTCAAACGTTTTTCATGCTACTAGTTGAACTCTATATTATTTTTTCTAAACTAATAATTTTTACATCTTTTCAAATTTCATTTCAACAATTTACCATTTAGAAATGCTACTCATCTTCCCATGGAACTGAAAGCTATTATTTCATTCATCTATGGTTGATGCCTTTCATCTTATTCCTGTCACCTACCGTCAAGTTCATCATCTCACAGCTTCTCTTGCCTCTAATAATCAATGTCCATTGGATGAGATGTTGCAGGTGGGAATGTGTATGACCCTTGACACCTTACTTATACCACATTGTACTTTCATCTGCCTCTGGTTTTCATCTCCTCTTTCTGGTTGCCATTCTCCAATCTTCACAACATGAGCATTTTTCTCAAGAATTGGCACATGTGCAAAAACCTTTTCAGCAGTAGTGCAAAATAATAGCTTTCAGTTCTGTGGAGAGGTGAGTATCTATGTGAAATACATTTTCAGGTAAGTAAAATGTTAACATTTGTCAACAATATGAATGTCTGTAAAAGAAAGTCAAGCCAATGAAACCAGTTATTTTTTTCCCACTGTAAAATAAGTCATAACAAATAATAAGTCATTCCTTTTGTATAATGAATTTAAAGAATGAAGTTTGAGATTTTGTAGATAGGCAGGTTTTCAACATCAGTATAAAGTATATCTAATATAAAATGTGAAGAAACCTTTAACTTTGTAATATATTCGATAAGGTTCATTAAATTAAAAAAATGCTCTTATGGGCAGTTTTAATATTTCATTTACAAACTTTGTGGAATTTAATAGTTAAATATTTGAATATTTTTTGAAAGTACTTGGATTAGGAAGAAACGTTTCAAATTGGGTGATTTTATTTCCTTTGATACAGGACTAAATTTCAGCCTCTGAAAAACAAAGATAATGAACTGTACATACTTTTATCTATAGATGAGCTTTGCATATAAAACATGATCGGATAATTGTATTCTGTAAAATCTCAAAGAAAAACTGTATTAATAGATTTAAAGATATGTTTGCTTTTCTTTTCATATTATTTAAACCAATGCTATATTCCAAACAATGTTTACTTTAACAAAAGTTTATAAAAGTTATTGAATGCTTTCTGATAAATAATGTTCATTAGTTTAAAGATTTATATAGTCATGCTAATTTTCATGTAACTTCTTTTTTTTTTATACACGTACATGTAGGGTCCTAAGGGAAGCAAGGGTGACACTGGACCAAGGGGACCAGATGGACTATCTGTACGTCCTGCATTTTAACACTATGTTAAAAAGAGTGTACGGTAACTTCCTCAAAGTGAGAAATCCCTTCTTGTTAGTATAGTGTCATACATAATTAAAACAAATAAATTTAACTGTGACACTATATTCGAAATAAGGGGTTTCTCATTTTGAGAAGGCTTAGAACAATAATTAGTTGAATTAGTTTTTAGTAACTAAGCAAATTTAAATTCTGTATCTATTTTATAATTTGGTAGTCACAAAAAAATATAAAACTTACTTTGGTGATAAAACAAGATAACTGGG